TAAACCTAAACCTAAACCTAAACCTAAACCTAACCCTAAACCTAACCCTTACCTTAACTTAAATCGTGCTTTTGTGGGCACGGTTTTGTCGGCGTGATGTTGTGGGCGCATTTATGATGTCACGGTTTTCTCACCGCGGTTTTGTCAGCACACTTTTGTCATGCGCACATTTGTCGGATCATGGTACACATCTATTTACTTGCTTGCTGTCACTGATATTAGCTTGACTCCTATCAACACATATTTAAGATTACATTTCAATGGATTCAGAAGGGACATTTGAATTTTCATGATTAATAGTAAATCATCCAACTGAACAAAACCAAAACAAAATTCACATGACATACATTGAACTATAAAACCTCTATATTTATTTTATTATTGTTATTTAAGAGGTGGTGTGTAAACTGTAGACTGCCGTCTTCTATGCACACAAATTTAACGACTTGCTCTAGCACAAAGAGCTATTCTTTAATAAAAATGGTTAATAAATTCTGATTTCGTTCCTGAATTATCCCTCACTAATCCTGGGCCTGGTTTAAACAGCATTATGTTAAATAATGGTAATGCAATGTGTTGCAATTCTCTGCAGGTTTGCCTTTCACCCATTATCCTTAGTAGTTGTTGTTTTTCCTTGTATTACACTCAAATACCATTAGAAATAGTCCTTTGCTAACATCAGCCATTAATCTTTCAGCAACTTCCGTGGTACCTGTTTTTTATAGTAATACTATTCTTACCAGGTTTACCCAGTGCACAAATCCTCTGCCTTTTCAGACAGCCTTTATTATGACACATTTAAAATACTTCCCCAAATAAAAAATCGTATGTATTCATGGTGCTTGAGATTAGATTGATTTATTTGTTGCTTCAATTGTTTACTCAGTAATTCGTTTCCAGTCTATGCCAATCCTCAGATTTCTGAATCAATAATAATATGAAAACTCAATTTAGGTGCAAGAGTAGTCAATATTTTTGTTTATATTCCATTAAAATCACTTCCAATCGATAAAACAAACAAAGTAGATGGAAACCTACAAAATAATAACAAAAAACAACGAACAGTGGAAGCATACTGGAAAATGACACATTCCTGCTAGATTAGAAAAAAGACAGCCAGTAAAAGTGTTTAAATTGGATTTAGAAGCAACAGTAACCAAATTACTGCGAGATTAAAAAAAATGTTCTAAAATTTGATGGTCTCTCTGGCGAAGAGAAATGCTGTGGAACTGCACTCCAGAACACAATTCTGAATGATTTTATTGGAAATACAATTAAAATGTTTACATATTCCCTGTTAATTTTCCCCCCTCAAGTCTATCTTTCATTGTTTTCCATTTAGCCTTCTGACATGGTGTTAAAACAATCATTGCTTCTTTATTACAAAGCAAAGAAACAACTTCTGAAGAGTAGAATAAGAAAACCACTTAGATGCACCAAATGCTATTATTGTAAATGATTATAGAGGCTGTCAACTTCTATTGTTTCTTCTATTTCCTTCCCTCTCATCCTTCTACATCTGCAGGTACTTCATAGACTGGAAGAATGATATGGATAGCTACTTTACTATAGATGGAATGGAAGGAACTATTGCCACAAATGAGTTACTTGATAGAGAGAATACTGCGCAGTACAATTTTTCAATAATTGCAAGTAAAGTTAGTAAGTACAATAGAAACCGGATAGATGTCATTTCTGGAATTGTCGTTATTATATTGTTTTGTTCATTTTGATGCAATCATTTGGCAAAATGCCTTTTGTTTTGTTTTGTCTTATGAAATAGAGTCCGTCGTAACCCTTCATTCGGCAGATTTCCTATAATTTTTGGAAGACTCCTAGGGATCTTTTAGGGATCAGTTTCGAATAATCTATATCTTTTGTCAGTAATTAGCCTCATTCCCTATAGCATGATTCCATTCTTAGAGTTCTCAGCCCTGAGGGAAGAAAATATTGAATAAGCGGCTAAAATTGCAGACATGATTCCTCTTTCTCCTTTTGTGGGGCATAAAAAAATAGCGTCCTTATTAGTTTTAGTCTGGACTTTCATTCAGTTGCCTCATATCTAGTGCCCTATAGTGTGTCTATAATTTGGATTGATGTGTGCCTCATATTTACCATCTACTCCATGTATATAGGTAATTCATTCTCTGAGAATAGCCAAGACCTCTGGTTTTCAGTGTAAAGTAACAAATGACGTTCCAATTGCAGGCGATGAGTGGACAGGGATAGTTCGGTATACTTTGTAGCTACAAATCTAGTCCAAGAATAATTGTAGAAGCAACTCCATAAGCATCAAGTGTTTTATCCTACTGCTCACTAGAGGCATTGGAAATAGCGAAGCAAGCACAGATCACCTCTTTATCTATGTCTTTATCTCTGCTCTGTTTTCCTCTGATTGGAAGTCTCTTAGACTACCTCTTCAATCTGCTTCTTACAGGAAGACATGATGTCTCTTCCCTTCCCCCCCCCCCCCCCCCGTCTTTTGCTCAACCTTGGAAGCTTGGAAAAGTGAAGTAGGCTTTATATCAGGGCATGCAACTTCATTAATATATTTTACTTGTTCTTTTTTGACCTTTAATATATGTGTCTAGAGATACATAAAAGGGTTTAATTTTACTCGGATACATATGATCGGCTTAACAGAAACCCTAGAGAATGGAAGGATTGCTCCTCCGAGGATTGCAAAAATCCTATTGCATCACAAGGGACTCCATCCCCATGGGGACGATTATATGGACAGTGTGATGGAGGCTTTACGATGAACAGAGAATGTGTTGTAAGGTTGGGTGAACTGCTTTTCCTTTCAGACTAAGGGTTTAATCCACTGTTTTCCACTCTGCATAAAGAAATCTCCCTTAATTGCAATGTTATGAGTCACCAGCTGTTTGTTTCCAGTCATATTTTAATAACTTTAAATGCCTCTTTTTTCTTCTTTGATTATTCTGTTTAATTAGGTTTCAATAGTTTTTTTTTTTTTGTCTTGTGGCGGGGGGGAGTGAACTGGTATGTGACTACAATATAATGATGACTCAGAAACAAGCGGGCTTCCAAGAACAATTATTGAAGCTATTTCAGTGCCCTTGTAAGCTTGTATAATTACTGATTAAACATTATAAGTATGGCATGCAAAAATTAATCATAACTAAATGCGCTGGAAATGTATCATGGTTATGATTAATAAACCCCATTGGTTTCAGTGGGATTTGTTTTGAATATGCTTTCCCTGAATCTGCCTATTATTGTTTTTAAGTATTAAACATTTAGTTAAGTAAACAAAAATCTAGTTCAAACACCTTGATGGAGGCTCATTTTTATCTGAATCTCATTGATATTAAATATTAATAGAAAAATCTATATCTCATGCCTTTTTCTTATCATTAATGAATTCTATATCATACTGTAATATTATTTTTCTGTTCAATAAAGGGAGGTATATGCACTCATAACTTAGGGATTGCCTTCCTTGTTTAAGTTCCTTTTTTGATATTTTAAATTTGAACATTCAATTTAAGAACATTTAAATCTTAGAAATGTTAAATGAGTCTATTATTGACTGATAACTGCCAACAATCATCCCTATACAAGGCTTAACAAAAAATCAATCTTGTTTTCTTTCTCAAAATCTTTTTTTTGTTATTATTTTCCATCTGGTTCCAAAATGTCTGGAGGTGTTGCTGTTCTATGTAAAACTTGGAGTAGTTTCTGCTTCCAGCATTTAGACAGACAGACAGACAGATGATAGATAGATAGATAGATAGATAGATAGATAGATAGATAGATAGATAGATAGATATAGACATAGATATATTCTAAATTCTTTTTTACA